GTTTCTTTTTAAAATAATTTCATCATTATAAGGTATTAAGACACTTCTTAACAGTTCTTATCGTACAACAGATGGTATTAATGTTTACATTCGTAACGAATGTAATTTTTTTAATGTTGTTCAATAAAGGGTTATAAATTTATCCATTTCCTATTAAACCATATAAGAATAAGATTAAAAGTAGTTAATAAACATTACCATAACTTTATGCAGAAAGTGTTTTGCCACCTTATCCTCACTTTTTAGACAATTTTCAATACTTTCGGCGAGTTTTGAATAAGACGACTGCCTATTAAGTAGGAATTTTTGGTATTTCTGTAATTCATGGTCATTGAGCGACATGGTGACATTAAATGCGTATTTAATAATTAACTTAATATTGTTACTTATTAATTACACTATGTTAAACCAATATAATATTAAATTAAGAAAAATAATGTGTTTATTTTCCTATTTTGTAATGACATTAATAAATGACAATGACAATGACAGACGGGGTCATACACCCAATTAGTGATGACAATACGCAAAAGCCGTAAAAGTTAAAAAGTTGTCTATTGCAGTAGAGCTGCAACAGCTTAATAATACTAATTGTCTATTTAGGCATCTCAAGACTCAAGGCTCAAGACTCAAGGCATCTCATTTCGCAAGCACTCTGGTTGGAAAATTTTGACGTTGACTACTGAAACCAGAAACGTCACGTCTTTGACAATTAGCCACTTGGTTTGTAAATCGTGTGAATTAATTGCGATTTTTATCAGTATATACAAATATAACAAGATTGTAATAGCTTTTCAAGAAACATGAAGCCTGCATTTATTTCACTATGTAAAATTGCACTCTTCGTGTTAGTTTTTATGAGTGTAATATCTCATGTAGTGATCGGGGATTCGTCTGCTAAAAAACTGCAAATTGGAGTTAAGAAAAGGCCTAGCGAATGTCCAATAAAAAGCAAAAAGGGAGATCTTCTTCATATGCATTATACGGTAACTATTTGTAACGTTACAAAGTAATCTTCAATAAGATATAATGTATTGTGCAGATTATTAGCCATTCTGATAAGATATACTGTGAATGTAATTTTAATGAATGAAACTTTGTATTTTCAGGGTACATTAGAAGATGGAACTGAATTCGATAGCTCAATCCCTCGTGGGAACCCATTAACCTTCACACTTGGTTCAGGACAGGTCATAAAGGGCTGGGACCAAGGTTTAATTGGAATGTGTGAAGGGGAGCAAAGGAAACTAGTCATTCCGCCTCATTTGGCCTATGGTGAGGCCGGAGCACCACCAAAGATTCCCAAGTCTGCAACATTAACATTCCATGTAGATCTTGTCAAGATTGAAAGGAAGGATGAATTATAATTTATTATTCATCCAAGAAACCTTCAGTAGTTATTTATTTTATTGTAAATGTGATATTAATTCTGATGTTTTATAATTTATGAGTGAAGAACAATTATTACTTTATACTTTTATAAACATAATTTTTAATTATGATTAAATGTTTACTACTGAAGGAAACAAGCTTCTCTTATTAACTCCTCATTTTTCTCTAATATCATTATTGATTTAATAATTAATATTATACTATTGATGGCTATACCATTTCTTTTATTGCATATAAGGTGAAGAGCTAATATAGATACAAGTGGTTTCATATGCTACTGGTTTCTGATAACAAATAAACATTAAGTAGTTACTTCAGTAACTACTCATTATTCATTATCACACTTTTATTGATATCTTAATATCAATACGAATTCTTATAAGAATAAGGAATTCCTATTTTTTATCAATATATTCTGTTTACCTGTCAATTTTACAAAACTTATTGTTATTTGAATGCCTATTTAGGAAATACAAGGCCTACAAATGTTAGGAATATAAGTATCAAAGTTTAAGTCCTTACACCAATCAAACAAATCTTCAAATTAAAAAAGTTATGTTTAATTCGAAGTATAAAATTTATCAAAGCGTGCAGGAATTATGGTTTATTTACTTTGTTGTTTGTGATTCACAAATATCTACCTACTTTAGTGTGTAATTTCACTATGTTGAAAATTAGGCAATATTTTTCAATATATTAATAATAAAGCCTCATTTATTCCTTAACAATCGATTTACATGGTTTTTTTTACAGTATCGAATTTTATATAACTTTGTAGTAACAATTTAAGATTTTTAATTTAAAATTTAGAGAAAAATTATACCACACAAAATTTATAAATAAGTAATTGATTTTCATGCGTATAAAAATGTATATTTATATTTATTAAGGACTTCTCTACAGAGTAAAGGCCTCCTTCATTTTTCTCCATTGATCTCTGTCTAATATCATATTAGTGGTCTAAAGCCTTTTCAGTCATTTCCCACTGTGTACAGTATTTCATCGAAATTTTTCAATGAAAACAATTCCTCGTGTATTTTAATAACATACAACACTGATCTAACAATGTCAGTAAAGTCAAGATGTCAACGTCAACGTCATTCAAGGTTGAGTTGAAGTTGAAGGTGTCATTTGAGTTATCTTTCGACTCTGTATTCTGCCGTATTTACAAATCATCTCTAACCAAATTTAACACGGTTCAATGATTTCGGATTACGTGGTAAAATACTAAGTAGTGTAATAATGGTTAAGATAATATTTCTCCATCCTGACTTGGGTATTGGTGGTGCTGAACGGTTAGTTATAGACGCTGCGCTTGCTTTCAAGAATAAAGGCCACGATGTAGCCTTTTACACGAATCATCACGATCCTACGCACTGCTTCGCTGAGACACGAGATGGTACGTTTCCTGTATCGGTTGTAGGGGACTGGATACCTCGCTCTATCTTCGGTAGATTCAAAGCCGCGTGTGCTTACGTACGCATGGTTTACGCCGCTGTTTACATGGCGTGGTACGTGATACCAGATGAAGAACCGACTCTAATATTCTGCGACCTCATATCTCTATGCATTCCGTTTTTGAAAATGGCAAGAGGACCGTTCCGTGTGGTATTTTATTGTCACCATCCCGATAAATTACTCACTTCTGAAGGAGGGTTATTGAAGAAGATATACAGGGCACCATTGAACTGGCTGGAAGAACTGACGACAGCCCAGGCAGACAAAGTCCTAGTGAATAGTAAATATACTGCCCGGGTGTACCAGGATGCATTCCAGAGAATCAAAGAGATACCTGACATTTGCTACCCATCTATAAATACTGAGTTCTTTAAAATGACAATACCAAAACCTTTGAAAGAAGTAGTACCTGTGGGGACTGATAAGTTTATATTTTTGTCAATAAATAGATATGAGAGGAAGAAGAATCTTCAATTAGCTATAAGAGCATTTGAGCATTTGAAGCATATTTTGAATGAGGCTGACTGGAACAGGGTGCATTTAATAATGGCGGGTGGATTTGACCCAATAAACTTGGAGAATATGGAGCATTATATTGAGCTGACGGATTTAGTGGCTGAGCTGGATATAGAAGATAAAATTACTTTTATGAAATCTCCCAAAGATGATGAGAAAGTGTCACTGTTGCACAACTGCAGGGCTTTGGTGTATACTCCATCTAATGAGCATTTTGGCATTGTGCCTTTAGAGGCTATGTACTTCAAGAAACCAGTGATTGCTGTGAACAGTGGTGGACCTACAGAGACAATAGTGAATGAAGTGACAGGTTTCTTGTGCCAACCTAACAGTAAATCCTTTGCACAGGCTATGAGTAAATTGGTACTGAACCCTGAATTAGGTGAGAAGCTAGGTGAGGCTGGATTGAAGAGATTTGAGACGAAATTCTCCTTTGATGCTTTCACGGAGCAATTAGATGGTATCTTGACTAGGGAGAGGCAGATTGTGTCTGAAGCGAGGGCCATTGAGTACGAGAATCGCAAACGTAAATAACAGGATGCTGGCACGCCAACAATATGTGATATTGTTTGAGTGTGCACACTAAGCATAAGCTATAATACTAATCATTGTTCACATGTTAGTGGGGATAACAAAACTTAAATAAAAATCTCGCAAAGCTTACATAACAAGTTGTAATGCTAATAAATGTTTTGTAAATAAAGTCATGTACATAATGTATGTGATAGTGTAGAATGAATGTCTTAGCTTAGGCACTGATAGCAGAGATTGTAATTTAAAACAAGTGTAAACAATATTAGATGCAGAAAAAATATATATAAGAGCAATTATGTGATAGCTTAGTTGCCAATTAAAATGCTATGTCTAAGGCCCTGTACCACAATGTCTGTTAAAACTTATATTAGTCTAACTGACAGATATGATGTATTTTCAACATAACATGTATGAAAATACCATTTATGTAAATACAGTTAAGCTAACTTGATCAGGCATTGTGGAACATGTCCTTGGATATATAAGTAAAATATTTAATACTGTGTCTAAAAATACTTAAATAATGATGTAAGTTACTTGTCGTAAGCTAATTATAAGTTTTCATCTTATTCAAGAAACTGTTTGAAGAGTAGTTTAAAGCCATGCTGGAGGCTCTTATTCATGAACAGTATTCCGCGACACGCGACGCGGCGACTGTCGCGCTGCAACCCAAACAGATACATGAGTAAGCCGAAAATAGTATAATTAACACGTTAAACGCCATGGCAGTCACCGGTGACCGACGTTAGCGGAGGATTTGCCTTCAACAATTTTTTATTGGCAGCCTACGCCTTAATTTAGTATGTGTCAGGAAAGTTTTAATATAAACTGTTGTAATTTCCATGTGAATACTAATATAGTTGTTAGGTAATTGTTGTGTTGTAATAGAGAATGATATAAGCTCCAATTTCCTTCCATATTGTTGTATATATCTTGCTTTTTAGTTGCTGGCTGACTATAGCTTTTGAAATTAACTACTTAACATTTCTTTGGACTTAAAAAATAATGTTTTTTTAGCTACTCATTTAAAACTTACTGAATATCCTTTTACATTTTTTTTGACATTAATTTATGCTTTTTTATTAAATTTATTACTTCTTTTCTAAAGATATTTCTTTTGTAAAGTAATCAGTGATGTGTTTGTAAAATGTATGCATTTTTTTCTTAAGTTTACAAAAATGAGTTTGTAGTTAACTCTAGGTTTGTTCATTTGTCCTATTAGTATAGATTAAAATTAAATATAGAAATAATTTGTTGACTGGAAAGAGAGAGAGAGAATCTTTATCTTATTACTATGAAAAAATGAAAAATAAAAATAAGTTAAGCAGTTTTGTGTTGCGATTTTGGCTTTCATTGCTTTGAAGATAAAAAAAAAATAAGATCTATGAATCAAAATATAGCTCCATAGATCTTATTGTTTTTGGAAATAAGAGTCAAAATTGAATAGATGAACTGTTTTAGTATAACATTTTAAAAACTCTTGCTTTTTATTACGTACCTACTGCATAACTATTAAAAACATTTATCGCTGATTAAGCATTTGAAACTTTATTCCGACTGTTAAAAATATAACAATAAATAGAATCTGTTACATATTTTTGTAATAAAAGTGCGTAAAATAATATTTTCATGTAACGATTTATGAGGAACATTCAAAGACATAACTTGGATATATTAATGTTAAATATATGTACTGATGTAAATAAAACGATTGTAAACGTTACTACATACCTACTTTTCATTTACCTTCTAACCACAAAAAAGTAAATAATAATTACTATAATTTTTGCAACATGCTGTTGCCCTTTTAAATTATTTCAAATTAGCTTTTACCCGCGGCTTCGCTCGCGTCACATAAGGATAAAAAGTAGCCTATGTGACATAGGTATACCAATACACACAGCGCCATCTATACCAATACTTTTGTTTTCCCTCGGGAATATCGATTTTTTCCGGGATAAAAAGTACCCTATTATTTAATCCAGACTTCAGAAATCTATCTTTACGTCTGCAAAAATTCAAAGCAATCGGTTTAGTAGTTACGGCGTGAACGCGGAACAAACAAACAAACTCAATTTCCAATTTATAATATTAGTAAGGATAAGGATTGTTGTCATAATATTAATATTATCTTTCTTGTTACCCTTTTTCTTAAACATGTCTTGATATTAGTGTACACAGGGAAGTCGTGCAGAATGTAAAAGATTGCCGGTCCCGTAGGAACGGGGTGGTTATTATTCAGTAAGACTGACACCCCCTCCCGTCTCACCCAGGCGGGAGAATTCATTTGATGATTTTTCCCTCGTTAAAAAAAGGGTGCATGCGAAACGAATATCATTGAATTTACCGATATCGATTTACATATTATTTTATAACTATGCCATAGTACTACTGGTACTACCCTCAACGTAAGAGGTACAGTGGGCAGCAGATTAACCTCTAATTTGTCAAATTATTCATTGGATTTTCGACTTTACATCGATACAATAAAGTTGAAGATGTAATAGAGAATTTTGACAGAAAAGGATGGGTGACCTGCTAGCCAACACACGCACAATTCAAACTCAAATTCAAAAGCATTTATTTCAATTGAACCTTATTTTGGTACTTTTGAAACGTCAACAAATATAAAATTATAAATAATAGTCTGTCTGTCTGTTCGTCAGTGAAGCTAAGCTAATGTAATTTAGTAATGCAACGAAAACAGATATATTACTCGTATTCCATAAATCTATATGTTGATAATATACCAATCTACGATTACATCGCTTGATGACCGTATCCGGCTAATAAAAGATTAGGTAGCCTACATATCGATGAGCAATTGGAAATTACGTAATATTGTTATATCATTACTATAAATACTTGTTGTTGGAATAATAAGTAGATAATTTACTAATAAGTCGGTAGGTACCTACTAACACTAACTAATAACTCTGGCTGCCAGAGTGCAGAGGTTACGGGAGAATGGGTTTCCTGCACCGTCGTACCTACCCACGTAGACGTCGGTCGTGGGGGACACCTGGTTGATTCTCCAGGTGTCGCCTGGTTGATTTTGAGTCAATCTGCCATGCAGGCAGATGGGTTGTCGATGAAGAAGATAGACCAACACGTGTTGTTTTTTTTAATCCATAGGCGGTCGATAACGATTTTTTTTATTTTAAATGTTGCCCCACATTTGGATTTTCTCCTGTGGCATGGTCGGAACTGAAACAACCATTTTTGGATCACTCTAAGAGTTGCATCGTGCGGGATCGAGTCAGCTACACGTTGCGTGTAATGCAGCCGGTTGTCCAGCCACCGCTCTGCTGGTGCGGGAGGCCGGCATGATAACTTTTTTGAAGATATTTTAAAAATTATGAATGTAGGTACGCTATACTTATTCAGGAACTAAGTACGTGGTTGTAACTACTTATCAGCAAGACAGACCAATTGCCTAATAGGTCCGCAAATATTTCCGTTTCGTCCAATTAAATCATCAAAGAAAATCACTGTATTATTGAGATTGATAAGTTTATCACTCATGAGTACATTATAGATAACTTGTACAGTGCACCTAGGTACCTATTGAGTAACATAGATAGACAGGCCTTATCAAAACGTTTACCTAAACAAATTATTAGTCAACTAGCTTCTGCCAGCGGCTTCGCCCGAGGCCCGCAGTCCCAGGGGGGTTTTTTTAGGGGGGAAAATCATCGAATGACTGCTCTCGCCTGGGTGAGGCGGGAGGGAGTGTCAGATTCTTAGTTAGGTTCTCCGCGACAAATTATTTTATGTATAGATTTGCGTGATGCGTGAATATAGACAGACAGAGTGACAGACAAACAAATTTTAATCACATTTTTGGCCTCGGTGACTATCTAGTAACATCCCTGTCGCGGAGAACCTAACGGGTAACCGTGGCTCCGGCTAGATGTGCAGGAGAAGGCACGGGGTGGTTTTTAGTCAGTAAGAGACTGACACTCCCTCCCGCCTCACCCAGGCGATGATTTCCCCCCTTTAAAAAAAAAGTAACATCCCTACTATTTATTTTTTAACTATTTTCAAAGTACAGAATTTACACTTCTACAGTTTTATTATACCTATGTATAGAAGATGAATGCAACCACAGAAATATTAGAAGCAGGTTGCAACCGTGAGTATTATGACTGCCGAGGTGCCGAGCAAAGCTTCTATTCCAGTGTCAGTAACAGCAGCACTCTTTGATACTTGGTTGTGATACCCTTTCTACGTGGAGGAGATCCGAGGAGTCCATGAGTGAATTAAGATTTAGTATTTTCCTTTTTTTTGAGGTTGTCTAAGATATTGAAAATTCAGATACGAATATCTTATCCGGTAGGTTGTGTGAACAAAGCTTATTTGTTCGTCAAACAGAATTTTATACTAGTAAAATATTTTACAACATTATTTTTTTCTTTAGAAGTTTATTCGGACGTAACGGATGGCACAGTCGAGAACTCGAAGCTCAAAATCGATGAGGAAATGCATTTGAACCCGCTGCCAAACAAATTTTAACTCGACTGCCATGCTTTCAGAGTTGAATTCCGAACAATACATGGTATTTGAAAGGTTAAAGACCTTTTAGTCTTCAGTGGAAATTAAACTTTAACAGGACGTGATAAAGTTGGTTTTGCTAAGCTATATCAATACTAGAGTCCTACTCAGACACAATTTTCAGCCGAAAGGTAAGTTAAACGTTCGGCCTGGATTTTAGTTTCGGCTAAACTGAAACTCAGATGTTAAACTAACTCGTAAACTTTATAAAGCGTTAGAATGACATTAGTACCTAAGTATAGTATAGTTAAAAGAAAAAGAAAAATATTATATCAACTATACATAAACTAAATACTTAGAATGTAATTGTCTCGGCCTACGGGCTACGAACTTAACCGAAGTTAGCCGAACAACGACGTCCGTTAGTTCTTTTCATACATACGTACAATTTAAATCGATCTAACTGAAATACCTAGTCAAAACTGATTTGTGGCCGAAACCTAATATTTTAGCCGAAACCAAAACCAAGTCTGAACTTGGCCTGACTCTAAAAAACACCCAGTCATGTGTTCTGGTTCTAGAACCGGAACACTTATATACTTAAGGGTGTGTTTTCATTAATGTAAACACGAGTATAGAGGAGCGGAAAGGTAACGTTAAAATTAGTACTTTCTTGGTTATAAATGTGGTATAAAGTGTTTACTTATGTATTTATTACATAAGTAGTAGGTGAGGAGAATGCTTCGTTAATCCACTGTTGACTATGACTGCAAAAAATTAGTGTTACAGATTTCATGCAATTACATTATTATGCTTTTGTTATTAAGGTTATACAATTGATATTTAAAGTTTTATATAGGTAACAACTAAAACCGTTTGGCTTGTTTTCATTAAAGCGGGGCACGGATTTATTGTTAGGGGAGCTTTTCGCCAAGACATTTTCCGCTGTTCGAGCGTCAATGAAAACACAGTTGAAGTTTAACAAGTATATAAGCGTGGAATGAGTTCAAACGTCATAATCCTATTATTTTGTTTCATCAATGTTTTTAAAATAGCTTTTGTTGTTGGAAATTCTTTTAGAAGGTCTCCAATATGTCCAAAAGTCCCTAATGATTGAAGGGATCTGTTGTAGCCACACCCTGTTCGGTAAATAATTATTAGTATATACCGCAGAGCCTTATGTACAATGGTTTTGTCGCAGAATCGATCGGTTTTCAGGGCATGCGCTTTGCAGATCCTCCTACTTAACTTGCGTAGCGAGGTTTGTTGCATCCGTTAGTGGGACGCTGACTGTGCACCGATCGAGACGTGGTGCCCATCTGGGTCTCAGAAGAATGGCGCCTAGTAGGGGACCGGCAGTTTTGGGCGAGGAACAAAGGTATGTAGTTTAATATTACTATTGTTTAATTTCAGATATTATCTTCAGGATTTTGGAGATTTTTGGCTGGAGCTTTCTTCGATCTTTAAAGCTAAAGGGGTGGGCTACAGTTGGAGACATCTTGATAAGAACAGACATCTCTATAACATTTTTTGCAGGAATAATGAATGGTTTCAAAGTTTTATTAATGTAATTTTGTATTTTCACAGATGGAGGCCTGTTTGGACGGCATCGAACTTCGATCCGGCTTGGCGTGCAAGCGTCAGGTCACCGCCCTGCAGCCGCAAACTTCCACCAAAGGTAGGTACTGCAAAATATTTTATTTTTTCTCTATATGTGTGATTCCAGATTCTGCAAGGAGGAGGGGGGGGGGAGTCACCCCATTCGGTAAAGTTAGGTGTGAAGGGGTGACGGTTTTTGCTTTTTACTCGATGATTTGATAAGTTGATCGGCTTAGATTCTGGGTTCGAATCCCTGGTTGAAGATGTTAGTAGGCGTTTATTTATTTTTAGATTAAGGTTGAACATGGAATTTCCTTTATTCATGGTTGTATTTAAGGATAAAAAGCCACTGGATTTTACGTCCTTGTCGGTTTATGTTCTGGGTTCGAATCCTGGTTAGAAACATGGAGTCTTCCTTCGACATAATATGCTCTTATTCTGTTTTCGATTCTATTATAAATGCCCTACATACTTTTTGTAAGATTTGGCTGACGCGAATGTTTAGTGCTAACCAGCGAATAAGCGAAAGCACGTGATTCTGGGTTCGATGCCCGGGTTGAGCAAACTTTTATTGAGTTACGTTTTTCTACGTAATTATTGATTATTTCACATTTGTGTATTGTCTTTTGTATGTAGCAGTAATAGATGCCACAGTACATGGAAAGTAGGGGTTGGGTGAACTATGGTATTTACTGGCCACGCCCTGTATACCAGCCATAATGCCATGCGGTATATGCGGTCAATGCACTTTCAAGTTTTACACCCTGCAATGCGGCATTTACAGGTTGCACGGCGCTTGCGCGAACTACAGGGAGGGGGAGGGGGGAGGGGGGGGGGAGTTTTGCCGCGTTTGCGCTGGTTTTTGTATGTGAGGGGTAGGGGGTTTACTGCAGTCTATTCCGGAACGGTTGGGGGAGGGGGTGTGCCCCTCCTCCTTTCTTATTCAATGTAACAGTGACAGCCCTGTTGGTAGTAATTTATTTTTTTATAACATTGATCCATTTTTCCATTGGATTTAAGTAATGTAGTCCAGTCCTGATAATGAAACTAATTGAAAACCGAGTTTTACCATTGAATTTCTTACTATTTGCCTGACTTTATCAATAGCAGGCAATGCACTTGCAGCACAGTCCTTCTGCACCTGTCCATAAGCAGTACTGACCCGTCTGCTCATTTCCCCCTATTCCATAAATTCCTATTACAAATTCGGATAATACATATCAAAATTTCTTTCATTCTAGGTCATCAACACCTATGGCCAACGTCATCTCGTCTTTGACCAGCTGATGGATCCGTTCAGCTCGCTCGATGTTTCCAGTTGACCCACTCATCCGGAACTAACAAGCAAGAACCAAGACACAAGCATTGAAACAAGCCCAACATCAAACTCATTATGAAGTCTCACTAGTTACTTAATGTACCAAAGTAATTAGTGACACCAAGTCAGAAGTAACAAGATGTATTCTGAAACTTGAATCATTGTCGCTCTTTCGAATTCGGAGCGACTAATGTCGAACATCCACCGGGGCAAGCTCTGCTTGCTGTAACTTGCCGGTCTTCTAATTCCAACACGGAGTCCACCTTCGTGTGCTTCTTAATACCTCTTGTACATTTTCACTGTATATACTATATGTTCTATTTAGTACAGGCACGGTAAGGGGTCCAGAGAGGCCTCAGGACCCTTCCCCCTTTTTCATCTTTAGTTCTTTTTTGCTTTGGGAGTTATCTGACTTGGCCCACATGGACCGCGCCTGTACTAGAGGCTCAGTACCTCTATGACTTATATATAAATAAGGTTAGCAGGAATACATTAACTGAACGTCATAATGTATTCCTGCTGTTCAATGACATTCGAGGCCATTTTGATCCAGTTCACCAGTACCCATCTTAAAGATCTAATGTTCTATTGACGTCACTCTATGAACCAACTGATGAATTGTTTCATATGCCCCGAATTTCATTCAGTCTAGTGCTAGGATAAACCTACTGTACCATGATGGAGAAAAACTGTTTTGATAAACAAAAAGACTCTAGAGTTTAAGAATCTTGTAATCTTAAGCGCTAAATACAACATTAAAATTAATAATAAATAAAAGTCTTTCATTTCTCGCAATTTTAAAAATTTTTAAGGGTACAATTTAATATACATTTTTTTTTATTTTTATATGTAACTCCTTCTTCGTCGTCCTTATATTGTCTACTTAACCTTCAATAATGTATTTAGCAAGAACGGGAAGACGGAGGTCTTCCCAGGAGTAGGCTTTCTCCAAACATTGCTAGTTATCTCGGTCTTTGGCTACTTCTGTCCAGTGTGGACCTAACTCTGTGGACTAACTATTATTTCATCTTCTCATCTTGAGGTGAGTACTTTACCTCTGAATTTGCTCACTGCAACACTAACATTTCTAGGAGAATACGGTCGTTGGAGATTGGCTATGATGCAGTTGACTCACTGCATTGACCGTATGTATACTAGTAGTAGTATAGTATGCGTAAAGTCTCGAAACGTTTGTATAATAAAAATTTTTGGTGTACTTGATCATTAAACAAGCGGTACGTAAAGTCAGTAGGTATTCTAATAAAAAAATATGATTTAAAGCGTATCCAATCGATATCTAAACATCATCAGCAAGAAGGACGCCAGGTTCGCTTACTTTCCTTTTTTACGTTACCTAAGTTAAATAAAGGGTTCAATTCCATAATTTAAAAACCATAAATTATTCTGTGCTCTATGTATTCTGTATTCTTAGTGTCTAAACGCAAACGCATCCACGGCACACGAGAAATTCCTAGTGTAAAGTAAAGAGCAAACACGACGAAAAATTTAAATAAATATTTTAAGTCCAGTGATTTAATGCGCAAATGCCATAATTATGTATTAAATTCGGTACGTTAAGTTTTTTTGGTACCAAATTTTTTTATTTTGTTCTGTAGATAAAGTTATTTCCAACATCAATATATTTTTTTTATTTTTCTAAGCATTGGTTAATACGTTAACTACCGCGTAGTTCACCGGTGACCTATGTTAACGGAGGATTTGCCTTCAGCAGTTTTCTGTCGGCAGTCCAAGGCTTAATCATAATTTTAAAAAAAATATGATTTCTTAAGTTTTAGTCGTAAAGTAGGCAGAATAACTTGGTTCCTTGACATGATACGTTTTTAAGTACTTAAAACGAAACCAACGTCAGATTTGACGTTCGACAGTTTGGCTGACATGACAAATCACTCTCTAGTTGACAGTTCACTGACGGTATATTATTTTTGGAAGACACTGACAATAGTCAAATGAGGTCATTTACAGGTCAAATGAAAGTCACTGATTTTTCATGTTTTTGTTAAAATAAGTGAAATATTACAATTTTTCTCGAAATAGTTTTCGAATTGGCATAGCCTTCGTTGCCTGATGTAAATGAATAAATAAATAGGTTGATATTTACTTTACATACCGAATGCTGTTAATGATTCAGCTTTATGGGATATGGCAACAAAAGAGTAGAGAGATCACCTAATAATAAGCAATCAGTATTGCACACCCGCGACACCAGAAGTGTTACGGATGTATTGCCGACCATTGGAGGGATGGGAGGTAGGGGAGGAGAATTGGGCATAATATTAACTAACTAGCCAGTTATATTGCAGACTGCGGCACATCGCATCGCGCATGTTCAAAGAACTTTCTGGAACACTGAAGTAGATGTAGTATTTAGGTCGATCGATACTAAAGGTGTAGTGTTACGCTAAAGCCGTGTCCAGTGGATAACATTCAACCTGCAACATGTTGCACCAAGTGTTGCTCAACATATTAGAAACGCAAACTTTAACAACGCTGCTTTTATGTCTACACATAATTTCGCTTGCATCATTCGCCAACAACGTGTTGCCAAAGGACCTAATGTCACGTCTCTATTTGACAACATTTTACGCCAGTGGCGTAACTATACCGTTTGGGGCCAGTGGCAAATTTATCAAATGGGCCCCCGTTCCCAATAAAAATCAGAGAAGTTGAGATGAAAGCTTCTAGCAGGGGGCTAGGGAGCCCGTCGCCTTTTGCCGACTTGCCACTCCGTAGTTACGCCACTGTTTGTTACATGTTGCACGTAAACACACATGACGAGCTTCATGTTACACGCTAGCAGGCAACGCAACATTGCCAAACACGTTGCGCATCGAATGTTGCTTAGTGAACAATAAGCTTAAAGCTGCGACAGGAATGGAAAATAATAATATACGACACTGCGGAATACACGGGAGTCTGCGCGTTGCAGAGGACGTTGCACCCTCACCCACTCTCTAGAGGAAACGCATATCCGCAGTGCCGCAGTGCGCCGTCAACCTTCGAGCTGAGCGTCACGATTCGCTTGACCTCCTCATCCAGCCTCATCACCCTAGCTGGTTGATCGAAGGTAGGTGTTTTTTTCAATACTCTCTGACATCTAATTCAAGTGTAGAAATAAATTTCCAGTGATTTTCTCAAGTTTTGGCTCCAATTCAAGATATTGTGATTATTTGCCCCTATGGGCGTGGCTCTGCTAATTCATGTGAATCGACTTGCGGGTCAGGAGCTCTGGGCCGAATAAAAACATATTTTTAAAATGTCCTCAAAGATCTACGATCGAATGATTTTAAAACCTTGCCTAAATTGTTATCACTTTATTTTTCCAGGTTGGTTTGTAGATCATCTGCAGCAGTTCGGAGAATGTATGCTTGACGAGAATAGCTGAGGCTTCCCACTTAGAGCAGTATCATAGCGTACATACAAGTAAGTAAATATTTTTTATTACGGTCTCTCATTCTGCAAAGTTATGGGTGCCACTGTTGAGTATGAGATCCTGGGTTCAATTCTCAGGTTTAAAAATCCATTCTGAGTCATCAGGTTAATCCTCTGGACGATTTTAGGGCGAGGGCGAGAGAGGAGCATCTATACATACATGATGCATGACAGGACTGCCTCGTTGGCCGAGT